CAAGCCATTAGAGTAAGAGGCTTTCCTCAGCTGTACTCTAAAGATAGAATGGGAATGGAATAGGATTTTGCGAATTCTTGCTCTAAGAGTCACTCCACTTAGTTACATCAGATATGCCAGTACTATAGCTGAACAGAAACTTATTGAGAGCTTTTATTTATTAGAAAATCACAATTCATTGAAATAACAATTGTTTCTCTGACTTAACAAACTTACCCTTTTCAAGGTAAACCTATCAAAAAAGATTCAAAAAGTGTTCCAATACTTTTTTTGGGAATTCTGGAACAGAAAAGTTTCTGGTTTTCAATCCAAAATAATATTTCTCTTTTAAAAAGTGAGCCAACTTATTTTATATATATATAAAATTTTGAAATCATAACAAAATGTTTCTCCTGATCTAACACAATATTTGCAAACAGAAGTCCAACTTCAGATTTCATTTATTTGGTAAAAGAAAAAAAACACTTACTGAAAAACTCTTTTGTTATGGGCAAATAATTTCTCATTCAGCTCTGTGTACTACCCACAACCGGTTTGTTCCCTATTAATAACAAGCAAGAAGAATCATACTGTTATTAGATGGCAGCACTTCTACCATTTTTCTTGAGTTGCCTCGAGGTGCCCTCACAACTAGTTTATATGTGTATGTGGTAGGAGGACGTGATTACACTGCTCTGCAGAGGCAGGGGCAGCCTCACTCTGAACAGCAGAGACTGCACCAGGCCGCAGCAATGGTGAAGAGAGTTAAAAAATGCCTTAGCTTTTCTTTTCTCTCCCAGCAGTAAATCTGTTAACTGGCTTCAGAGCTCCTTCTCATGCACTCAGCTTCATTAATGAGCTGTGGAAAGCCAAGTGGCTCAATTCCCTTAAAATCCTGGCAGACTGCAGGGATATTTGGCTCCTGCCAAATCCTGTAAGCACTTGGGGGGTGGTCCACTCATTCCATCATAATAAGCCTTCTTTCCCCTAACTGCCCAGCTTTCTTTCTACATGATCATAAGCCTGTGCTTGATGCTGTGGGAGTTACTGTATTGTCACCAATTCAGCACCATGGTTTCATTGCAGGAGAAAAACGCACCCGTCTGTGATTTCAGAAGCCATGATAAGGTTCTAGGATTGACAATCAGCTCCAAATATCTCAAAATACACAGCCTGGAGAAAGACTCAGCAAAAAAGATATGCTGAGCATGTTGAAATCTGTTGAAATTCAGGTTTGCAAATTGAGTGCAGCATACAATTCTGACCTTTTTAGATGCTGGAATCAATCATTAAAAACAACTAATAAATCATGGTATATCTTAGAAAGAAAAGTATCCAGGCTGTATTCTCTACTATAAAGGAACAAATCAACTACAGAATGGATATGGGGTGAATGCTGGCATAAAACTGTACATAAGCAGTAATTAGCTCTTGCTTTTAGGTATGTCTGCTACAGAAAATCTTATCTTGGTATGATATTGTGATACCTACTGTCAGAGAAAAGGAGAAAACATAAGGACGAAGTGTGAGCTTTGAAGAAATTACCTAATGATAGCCATGAGCCAAAATTGCACATTCTGCACTGTGGGGCATGTCTACAGAACACAACATAATGCTGTGCAAATAATCAAGCTGGTTCTGGTATTAAAAGCAGCATAACTGCATATATGCAGCAGCCTGCCTAAGCCAATTTAAATTAGCCTGGTTATTTAACTGCAGAGACAAAGTGATACTATGGCCCTGTATTCAAGCTATCTTGGAATAAACTTCAAGTTTTGGTTTGTATCCTAATGTTGCAGCAAATTCATTCTTTGTGTTAGTGTTCAATTGTTTTGAAAACCTATTTTTTAGTTCAAAAATCTTTTTTATACAAAAGTTAGCATGCATTGCTACAATCATTTGTCAGCCTTTAATCATGCCATTAACTGTTTGAAGCACAGGTTTGCTGTACTCAACCTCCCACTTCATAGTAAATAGTGTTTTGTTGCATTAAATCTCATGAGATATCCTATCTAATCTGTACTGGGTAATAATGTTCAAACCTTAAGACTGATTTATTTTTTCTTAATGCTTGTCGATTTTCTTTAATACAGATCCACCACAGATGAATAACGTCATGCCAACATCTCCCCTCCTTCCTCAGATGGCACATCAACATTCATATCCCAGCCTGGGACAGATCACAAACCCATATGAGCAACAGCCCCCAGGCAAAGAGCTTAATAAGTATGCCTCTCTAAAGGCAGTCGGTAAGTAAGAAACACGATGCATGATTTCTCCTTTAGATCAGTACGTTGCACTTGCTGTTGTCAGCTGACATTCTGCTTCAGAGTTAAAAAGAGTCTTGCTCATCTGGACTACTTCATGACAGAATTTCATGAAGAATATCATGTTAGTTGGAAAGGTATTAAAAATTAACAGGAGGACTACTACAATTAGTGATAAGAAAATTACATGTAAGAATTAGTGATCATATGCATGTGTCTCTATATATGCATACAAAATCATACCATACCTACTGTACACCATTTTTCAGTGAGTTTCACCTATGTTGTATGCATAGCGTTCAGCTCTAGTTCTTTATGCTCTGGATATGCCTACCTATCTGCACAAATGATAGAGGAAAAACATCAGATATGTTGCAAATTTAAAGCGTATAATTTAGACACCTGCTAAATACTTCCAAAAAGAGAAGATGTTTGTGTGCTTCCGAAGTAAGAGCTTTCACATTTTCTGCAGGATGTGCATTAGTAGGTCACTGGAGGAATATTCTGAGGCCTTATGATTTCAAACAATTAGTGCATCATAAAGCTCCTAATAAAGATCCCGGTGGTGGCTATTTTCTGTGACTAATTAGTGCCATACACTACTATTTTAAGCAAATGGGGGAACATCCTCAAAGAAACAGTTGTGGGGAGGGAAAAGGACAACAGCGGGTAAAGATTTCAACATAATTTTCGTATTGGAGGCATAAGCTGATAATGCTTTTCAGGGGCTATAAACACCTGCTGCACACCATGTGAAGACAGAAAGCCTTTATCACCTTACATTTCAGGCCCCTTCTAGACAATAAAAAATTAAGAACTGAGGGGGGTGTGTCTATTCATAAACAGCTTCTCACTAACCCTTGCTCAGCTTACACATATGGATGTTAACATCATTTCCCCATGAATTTAGAGCAGTATCACACTGCCTATTTCCAGACAGAGCTTTTTGGTTCAGAAAAACAGAACAGCTGAGAACATTCTGACTTAAGACTCTAGTATTCATCACGCCAGAAAATTTTTTCATAACAAACTGACATTCCTTTATTCAAACTTGAGGATAGCTGACCTCTAATAAAATGTACATCGAAGTCCCATCTCAAATAGTTTAGCTTTGCTTTTTGCTTGCCGCTTTTGTTTCTCACAAGTGGCATTTTTTAATCTGTTTATAAAAGACAAGGGTTAATAGCTTTCTGCTGAATTTTGAATACAGTCAGTGTAGCTTTACAATTCCTTCTTCAAAAGGTGATACTGTGTAATGATGTGGTGATTATCACAGATTTATGCACTGGTATCAAGCTTCTTTTTCAGATGTCAATTTAGGTCAAGCCAATCATCAAAGCTAAAAGGTACTTAAGCATAATAAAACAAGAGATGAAACACTCAAAATAAACTTCTCTCATCTGCCCAAGAGCCATTGAATGTACTTTTAAAAACAAAATTATTAAATTAGAACTTAGATATTTCTTGGGTATCTGAGTACAAGTTTTTAAAGCAGCTAAATTATAACCATACAGTTAAATCAACCTTGAAAGATTGTGCACTTCAGCTCCAGAAGTTGTATAATGCCTCTCAGAATCTTAAACTAAATTAAACATAACTTTCAGGGACATTTTCTTCCAGGAGGATTGCACCATCTTCCCATGCTTTTCCCCTCTCCTTCCTATCCCCTCTCTCTTTTTTTCCCCTGTAGATCTACTGGTCTTAGACCACATTAGCCAAGTTTTAGATTCAGGTGAATTTTCACAAGAAAAGTACAAAAGTGCTGCATTTTTATCCAAACGTTTCAGCAGAAAACAATAGAGATTTTAAAACTGTTATACATTCACACCTTCTGTCTGGACCTATGGAGCAACACTTAAATACGCTCAGTTTTAAACCACTTTCAGACTCTCAAGGCCATGATTCCTCCCAAGAGGCACCTCTTGAGTACATCCCAAGAACACGAAGCAGTTTTTCCATGATGCCAGCCAGGCCTGGGTTTGTGACCACGTTGACATCAAGCGAGCCAGACCGCACATTGCAGAGATTATATTGGCTTTATGAGAGCTCTGGGGGGAAATAGCAACCGGCCTACATCAGGCCCACAAATATAAATTTAACCTGACAACATCTTTTGAACAAATAGTCATAGACTGAGTTCACCCTGACCTGGTATTCATGTCACAGAGCGATGGCATTTTTCATATGCTAACATTCAGAGTCGCATTTACTGATTCCCATAGCATGTTAATGAGCGCATGTAGTCCATTTCCCTTTGCATTCATTGATAGTGGCTTGAGGGTAGATTCATTTGCCACAACAGAAATTTAATAAGGGATGTGTTCTATATTTCTCCATGCATTTGAGGCAAACCATACTCATTTAAGTGTCTCTTACTCTGCATGGTCCCATTGTTTGGGTGTAGTCCACTGTGCTAAATTCTCTTTTTTAATGGGTGGTGGGAGTGGAGGAAGAAGCATTCCTATTGCTTTGCAGCAACTGTAGCTATAGTACATTAATATCACTCATCATAATGTGGCCATAAGTGGTAAGGAGTTTAGATATCTGAAAAAGTGATGCTTTACCAGAGGCAGTATTAAATTAATTTCCACACAGCTGCTTTCTTCTGAACTACAGATGTCCTAAAAATTTGGCTGTCTAATTTTAGAAGTGAGCTACTCATCCATCAGTGACTGGCTGTTGTGAAAATTCAGTTCATGGAAAAGTAGGGAGTCACAGTAATCTCTGTTCTGGATCGTGTTCGGGACCTGCATTAAATTCAGCACCTAAGACTCAAGCGCTTGTGAAAACAAAAGACAACAGTGCCATTGCTATTAATTTGCACTGTGTTACTGAACGAGAACGACCAATACCTTGGTAGTGAGGCCAAGCTGTTCCCTAGGAAGCTATTTTAAAGCTACACCCTAGACTCCAAATCATATAGCTTAGCAGACTGCAATCTGAAGTTGGACTGTTCATGCATGTATTCAATGCAAAGTGTGCATTGCAGAGTGTCTGATTCAGCACAACAGGGGAGAATTGAGTCGAAAAGGCCAATGTGGATGTATTTTATTTAAAAAGCATAATATTTTTATGTGAACCAGTTCAAACTGCACAGCCAAACCCTTACACGCTCAATGGAAGAGGATATTTTCCTCATTTCTTGTTAGGAATTTCTTTATTTGTTGCAGCCTCCAGAATTCCTTAAGTACTGACCAGTGGCTACTGACCAAATTCACCTTACTGTCTGCTGGCATTTACATCTCTTAATAACGTGAGGACATTCTGTGGCTATTTTGTACTCTCAGATGAGTGCTTGGAGTGTAACAAGGTAATAGTGAGTTGAGATTTACTTACTATTTTCCTCACTGCATCAGAATTTTACTCTCCTACCTTAACACATATACCACCAGGGAATAATCAGCAAAAGGTAGCAAACTCCTTGGAAATGAGACAGAGCAACACGCACTTCCTGAAAGAATAGATAAGTAATCCACCTCCTGGCATCTCTAGCCTATCTGACTGACTGATAGGTGCGCTCTGTTCATCCATTATTTGTCCATTTTTGAACCAGAGAACCTTTTTTCAACAGTGTTAAATTTGTCCCACCAAGGAATGTCAGAGACTGTATCTGAGGGAAAAGGGTTAACAAGCTCTAAGACCTGTCCCACCAAAAGTGGTCACTGAATATCGTGTGGCAATAAAACACCCAGTGTTTAGATATTTCAATTTTTTGGTCACCCTGAGATGACATGATCCTGGTTTCCTTCAGTGCTTTTGCAGTATTTGATTATTTATGTGAAAAGTGCAGAAAGAGGTTTTTCTGCATAAATTATTCTTATTTCCAGTTCATCAACCATGTTTTTACTCCATGCTTAAATGGTTATTGCTCATTTAAGCAATCCTGGCATGTCTAAAGCATGTGGATGGAGATCTATCTGAACACCTTCATGAAATTCAAGTCCCAGGACATACAGCGTAGTTCATCACAAATTTTTATACACGTCGTTTGGACACTCATTCAGAAAGCATGAACAATCCAACTTTGAATTCCACTCTGCTAAGCTGTAAGAGTTGGAGTCCATCCTGTTGCTTAATAAGAGTTTCCTAGAGCTCAAATTGGCCTCGCTATCCTGAGGTATTCGTTATATTTATCCAGTCACTCACATTGTTCTGCGAGCCTGGCTCAGTTACAGTTAATTTTCTTTCCTGAGTTTCAGGGAGTGCAAAGTGACTAACTTTCTTTAGAACTTCTTACAAAAATTAAAAAATACTACAAACCCAACTTTCTAAAGTCCTGCAGGACTGGGAGAAAGATCACTCAGCTGCTGGAGAGGTGCACAGATATACATGTAAAAACTGAGAATACAAGTATTTCTACAGTTTAACATGATTTTATATTTCTTTCATAAACTTTCTTCTTCCCCTTTCTCACGCACACATACACACACAAAACTTTAAGGAACTGACTGGGCATGACTTAAGACGAGATAACTCAGCCAGTTAAAATTTTTGCCAAAAATAAAAAAATACAATGGACAGAATTGCTCCCTGAAACTCAGACCCAGAAGACATTCAGTGATGCTGGGAGCTTTAGTCTCCTGTGGGATGAAATCAGATCTAATTGATTGGATATAGCGAAGCTAGAAGGAGGATATAATTGGCAGCAGACTCACCATCTCATCTCTGAGTCTACAGCTCCCAGCATTTCTTGAAGCTTCACAGTTCTTTGATCCCAAAGGAAACATTAGACAGTGCTCCAGCTCTGCTTGCAGCTGCAAAACTCCAAAGTGAGATTCTGCAAATATGACACTCAAAGAATAAATATCTCCTGTTTAGGTCACTGTTACTATGTAGAAAATATTGCGGCCACAAGTGTGCAAATGCACAAGGCAACATTTCCTTCAAAAAGGTGAAGCATGTGAGAAAACAGTCCAGTTTGTTTGTCCTTTACATCTACACACACAGAAGGATCCAAAGGGGTAGATCACCATAAGGTTAAC